ACATTTGACTCGAGTGTTTCCTCAACTTAATGTGTTGCTTCAAATAATCCTTCTGCATACAGTATGTGACACTGTGAGTGTTGCACGGCCAGATACGTCTCAGCTGACTCAGATAAGGAGATATATGATACATTATGATGTGATATGCCGCGGACTGTACTTAATGTTACTCTGATCCGGTTACTTATGTTGTGGCAGATATTTAAGTAAGCTTTCTTAACGCTAATGTTATAATAGTCAGATTGCTCTGAAGATGGGAGGTGATATTCTATTAATGTTCACGTTCACACAGTCGCTGATTTCTGCCGGCCGTCTTTCCTGCAACGGCAGCTTTTCTGTATTTCCTTTCTCCTGTAATATGACTTGATCGCTTTAAACTCCGCACACTGAGCTCTGATTGGTCAGCAGGCAGTGCTTTCACTGAGTTGAGCTCTTAGCCTGCAACCTAACCTGCTCTGGGGCAGGTTAGCCGCTCAGCATCAGTTACCATGGAGATCTAGCCCGCTAAGAAGAGAACCAGCTTCGTAGGACCGGAAACCCAGAGTTTCCCTGAAGTTAGCCGCTAAGAGAACATCCTGCTTCGTAGTACAGGCCTCTGGTATACGAGCGTCATGTTGTTGTTGATATATCTGATACACAAGATCAGAGCCACAGTACTCATACTATCTCTTTCTAGAAACCCCTGGAGAGAGTCACACGTCACCGTCTTCTTCTTTTCAGTTGACTGAGTCTCTGTGATGCTTTCCTTTAATCAGAATTAAAGTGAATCTCGTCCTTAATGTCATTAAATAAACTTTAGAAAAGGTATTTGTTCCTCAAGGCGACGTTTTAAGGCAAATTCTTCCGAGGTTATTCAGTAGATTTTACCCCAAAGTCTGGATGTCTTTACATTTCACCGACTCTGAACACGTTTTAACTCAGAAAAGCCAAAGCATTGTGTTTAATAGAGAGCTAATCTAAAATATAAAGAAGACACACATTTGAGCATTTCATCAGATTGTTCCAGAAATACTATTGCTCTTTCTGCTTTTGTGTTTGTTGTAAAACAGCTGGAGTGAAAGCAGAGCACAGAGGAAGCTGAGAAACCTGATGACACTTAATATCTCGTATAAATAAAGCCCTTATAGCAGCGGCGTCATTATGTAAATCCTGGAGTGAGCGGACAGCGTTCCTCTGCAGAGCGTTTGAAATGGACGAGTGGATTTCTCTCGGGGTCAATACTTTGAGAAGAGCCTCTTTAATGTTTTGCAGCGCACTAAAAGCAAAACACTGAGAGAGAGAGGAGAGTACATTTCCTGTGTTTACAGAGAGCTTTGAAACAAGCAGTGGGTTGATTCATTAAATAAACAAGTTTTGATACTTTTGTGGTCTTTTTTTTAACATTTCGTCTTGAAAGTAATTTTTTTTGTGTTTCAAAAAATATATATATTTCATTTACGACCTCTGCGAATACTGCAGATATTGAATGGTCATAGTTTGTCATATTGTTTATTTATAATATATTACAATAAGTATAAGTATTATATTATTGTTTATATTTCTTTTTAACATACATTTCAATTTAGTAATTGTTTTTAAAAACGTTTTAAAAATGTAAAGAAAAAAATTAAAATACTTTTTAAATAATTGTCAAAAAACGTTTTAAAATATTTCAAAAAACGTTTTAAAATGTCAAAAACGTTTTAAAATGTCAAAAAAAGTTTTGAAAAAAAAAAATGCTTTAAAATATGTCAAAAAAGTTTTAAAACAGATAGAAAAACGTTTTAAAAATATTTTGACAAATAGTTAGAATTTTTTTTTTTTTTAAATAATTGTAATCATTTAGAAAATAGTACCTTTAAATATAACCTTATTGGCAATAAATATAGAAATAATAAATACTTTAAAAAATAATTGTGTTTTTTCCTGCGTACTTTATCACCCCAGATAGATTTTCTTGCTCGTACTAAAATGCGTATAACTTCTTTGTAACGAGTGTTTTTAGAGAGTTTCTGCTGAGTTGGGAATACACTTACAGACGACGATCGTCTTCGTCCTGCTTGCGCTGCTGATCTTCCTCGTCCCTCCTCTTCTTCTCCCTCTCCATCTCCTCCTGGATCTTCTTCAGTCTGTCGCGCTCCTCTTCCTCCTTCTTCTTGTTCTGCATGGCCGTCAGCAGCTGCTCCGACCGGGTCACGAGGGCCTTGAACTCGTGATCGATCTCCATTCGAGTCATGATGGTGCTCTGACGGAGAGAACGCAACACGCTTAGAAGAATCGTTTAATATCGAGTTTCATCACGAAGACTTCTGCAGGTTCTCTGATAAGGAGAGAGGATCTGACACACACAGCTTTTCAGCCATTTATTCAGGAACGGCATTCACTACTTCCCCTTGTTGTTGTTGTCCCTCACCTTGATTTTGATCATGAGTGAGTCGATGGTGCCCTCCAGGTCCTGGATCTGTTTGGTCATCTCCTGCTTCCCCTCCTTCAGGCCGGAGATCACCTCGCTGAAACGGTCCATCCTCTTCTTCAGGTTTCTCACCTTCACCAGGCCGTCGATCCTGAACACACACACACACACACACACACACACAATGTGTTAAGTTACTAGGAAATAATTCTTATTTTGACTGCCAACATCTGAAACTAACTTTAATTTTCAAAACAAAAACGTTTCCCTTTTTTTTTTTTCGTGAGTAATTGTTCTGCTACTTTGCACGTTTGACACTCATGTTTTCACACACACACAGAGAGAGAGAGAGAGAGAGAGGGGGGGAGGGAGAGAGAGGGAGAGAGAGGGAGAGAGAGAGGGATAGAGGGAGAGAGGGGAGAGAGAGGGAGAGAGAGGGAGAGAGGGGGAGAGAGAGGGAGAGAGAGGGGGAGAGAGAATTTGGACTTTTTCAAAAAATGTTGACTTTTTTGATAAATCTTTTAGATTCTTCACCATGCAGTCAGCATTAGCAGTAGTAGTATCAGTAGTAGTAGTAGTAGTAGTAGTAGCAGTAGTAGTAGTAGTAGTAGTAGTACCAGTAGTAGTATCAGTAGTAGTAGTAGTAGTAGTAGTATTAGTAGTAGTAGTAGTAGTAGTAGTAGTAGTATCAGTAGTAGTAGTAGTAGTAGCAGTAGTAGTAGTAGTAGTAATAGTAGTATCAGTAGTAGTAGTAGTAGTAGCAGTAGTAGTAGTAGTAGTAATAGTAGTAGTAGTAGTAGTAGTAGTAGTAGTAGTATTAGTATTAGTAGTAGTATCAGTAGTAGCAGTAGTAGTAGTAGCAGTAGTAGTAGTAGTAGTAGTATCAGTAGTATTAGTATTAGTAGTAGTATCAGTAGTATTAGTATCAGTAGTAGCAGTAGTAGTAGTATCAGTAGTATTAGTATCATGGTTAAAAGTTACAGTGCAGTCTAAGATGTGAATAGTTCAATTAAAAGCAGCGGCAAAAAGAAAAGTTTTCAGCCTGGATTTCAAAGTAGTCAGAGTT